AGCTAAATTATTATAATAATAAACCTTTTATAGTTTTCTGATTCTTGTTAAATGAGGTAGCCTTTTGGTTAATGCAATTATGGCTTAACTTTTGGGTTACTCTTGTCAATTAATTAGTTTACAAATTTATTATGAATCTTGATTAATGCTTTTTCTTGCAAGCACACTTAATGGTACCAGATAAAGATGTCACTTTTATGGCTTCTATAAGGTTCCTTTTATTCACTTGTAATCAATTTATTTTAGTCAAACTCTTTGATTTGTTTACAAAACAACTTAGGTGGCTTGTTTAACAGTCTTGCATTCACAATTACAATAATGCTACATGTACTGAAAATTAACTTTTGGATAATACTTCATTAATACTCACTATGTAGTTAACTAACGTTGGTTCTAACCCTTGCTTACTCACTAAGGTGAATAAAATGTGCCTTTTTACCAATAGTTGCTTTTATCAAAGCATTTTAAATAAAGAAAATCAAGACAACAGTTTTATTTTTATAAAAGTTTATGAAGGACTAATTTTATTTAATAAAAATAATGATTCTATCTATTATTTTTTTTCAAAGTTATTCTTTGCTTTAATGGATTAATTGATTGGTAAAAATGACAAGATAATAATGTTCTTATTTGATTAGGATTGATTGTTGTATCTTCCAAAGAATGGAAACCATAATAATAATTCAGGAAAATTAATTTCAAATGAAAACTAACTTAGGACTTCATTCGCACATTACAAATGGAAATTTGAACTAAAATTGTCATGTTAGATTGAAATGAAATTACCTGTTATTATTTAAAAAAACCCACAGCATAAGCATAAATTAATTAAATTAATTAATAATGTCAAAAAGAAGAATTGAGATTGACAATTACAATAATTACAATGACAATGACAAAGTAATTATTTTAGACAGAGAAAGCACCTTTTAGAAATCTGAAGAGAGTGTTTACATTGAACCTGGAGGAAATATTGACAATTATAACAATTATGATAATGATGATATTGATAATGATAATGATAATGATAATGAGCATGATAATGGTAGTGGTGGTGGTGGCAATGGTGATGGTGGCAGGATTAATTCTATCAAGACCATTGGTATTTCTAAGAATAAAAGTTCAATATGGACACATTTTGATAAACAAATGGATGAAAAAGGCATAAAATGGGCTAAATGTAAATATTGCTTGTAAGTAATTAAAATAAATTGCATTACTTATTTTTTTTTTAAAAAAATTACTAATTGTGTTAATTATATTAAATAAAGACATGGGAAATATAATATGAATAGTGGCTCTACTTCAAATTTAAGTCATCATCTTAAGAATCATAAAATAAAATTGATGTTAATGTAAATAAACAAGCAATGATGTTGGACAGATTTTTTAAAATGGCAGTAATAGTGAACATATTGTGTGTACTGTATATATTTAGATCAATTAATGTATCTACATTTGTAATTTTCTTAATCTGTAACCCATTGACCCAACAGGTCAGGTCAGGTCAACTGTTTAAAAGTTCAAGTCGGGTCGGGTTGAACCACTGACCTTACCTGACTTGTTCGGAGCTCTAAAATTGATGTAGAAATGGTCTTACAAGGAACAACATGACTCCCACAGAAACCACAAGATTGTAATTGTGAAATATGGATTCAAACAGTATTAAATGGCCATAACATTAGATCAACTATAAAGTTTCTTTGGGGGATTGCCCATAATATTTCATTTTAAATTTTTTTTTTGTTATTTTTTTTTTAAAAAATTTTTTTTTTTGTGTATAAAAATAATAAATAAATAATATGAATATGCAATTTTTATCAATTTCAAAAAAAAATTTGTTACACATGTATCTATATTGTATTTTTATGAACTGGTTTTTGATGCAAAGTAAGGATAATAAGTGGTGTTATTAGTTAATTAATGGTTGATTTAACTTGTTGTAAAAACTAAACTTTTAGCTAGTTAACACAATACTTGTCAGTAAAGTGTCCTTTCAGTAAAGTGTCCTGTTGGTAAAGTGTCTTGTTGGTAAAGTGGGTGTTGGTAAAGTGTCTGGGTTCGATTTCATAATAATAATGAGCATAGTGAACATTTGCATATTTGGTAATGATTTGTGTCAATCACATTTTGATTTTATCACGTAAAAAAGAATTTTGATTGGGCTG